AAAAAAAAAAAAGACAATGAAAATATACAGTATAGTTCTCTATTTCTGGCTACCTGAAGACTTAAAAGAAAAACAAATTAAAGTACCACTTACAAGACACCAAGTCATGTAAAAATGGAAAAGGTTCAATATTTCTTATTTGATTTTATACTTTTAAAAATTCTAGTGCTGGCATCTGAGCATATAAATAAATTTTCTTTTCCCATGCCAAGTTGCTAGCATTGAGCTGTATCAGTATTAGAGTTTGCTAGCTTCTCTATTATTCTTTATGTCTTGTAATTTGAACATTGTTTTAGACCTCTACCAAGGATAAAGGAAGCTCTGGTGGCCTACTGGTGAAGAGATTGAGATTGTTAACCGCTTTCGTTTGCTTGGCTCCCCTGGTAAGAAGCTGTATTGCAATCCCAAAGGCATGCAGTTCAAAACCACCAGCTGGTCTGCACATAAAGGAGAGGAGTTCTCCTCCTGCACAATTAACTGCCTCTGAAAACCTGCTAGAGGGTCGGCTATGATTGGCTCCGACTTGATGGTGCACAACAACAACAACATGAAGGATAAAGGAAGCTCTGGTAGCCTAGCGATAAGAAGTAGCACTGCTAACTCAACGGAAGGCAGTTGCATCCACGAGCTATTCTGTGGAAGAAAGGCAGTCTCCTCCTGTGAAATTTACAGCCTCTGAATACCTACTGAAGGGTCAGCTATGACTCGGTTCTGACTTGATGGCAACGAGTAGGGTTGTTGTTCTGTGCCTTGGAGTAGGAACTGCTCAAGGAGATAGATGCTTCTGTGCCTCTGAGTTGGCAGTGCCACTGTTTACCTATGCCACCAGGGCTCCCTGATTAATTGTAGTTGTTGTTATGTATCTTTGAGCCGGAACTGATCCACAGCTGACCGTCCAGTGGGCTTTTGGAGGTAGTAAACCACATGGCAGGAGATTGCCCACTATATATATTAAAGATAAAACTACACTTTGTCTACCATTTAAATAAGTAAAAACAATTAAGATTAATTTGTGGTATATTATGTACATTTCTGAGTTACAACATCCATTTATATCAATGCAATGACTGAATGTCGAGTTTCCATGATCTGGGAGGCTCCTGAATTTTAGAACTAGCAGCAAAAAGTACTGAACTCTTTGTAAGTATTACCAGAGTAGAAATATGCTAGAGAAATTTATTATGCATTATATCCAATTATGTCAGCAGGCTATGAATCATATCCAATTATCAAGCTATATAAGTGCATTTTATGCCACACTCAAACATCATTAATTTTGTACTTAGCATAAGCTTGCTCAAATGGTATGATTTCAGTAATTTCCAGCATCAATATTTCAGCATCAATATAAATTCAGTGTAAATTGGAAAATGAAAATCTTCGTCTTGTTTATATCACTGAAAAAGGCATTTAGTAAACACAGGAGCACACTGAACCAATACTTGATATTGAAATAATGAATCTAAATGTACCACAGAGAACCTATATAACAAGAATTGGGAAAGAAGGCAACTAAACACCAGAGAAAGCTTAGCTAAGCAGACAGAGCTTCCTCACGGGCAACTCTACCTTGAGTTGGTGTCAATAATGGGAAATGAAGAAAATGATACTAAATGTGAAAAAAAAATCAGGAAATCAATCTTCTCATCTTTCCACACACTGAAGCGAACAAGTTCAAGTTAACTGGATAAACTGTCAATTTATCTTAGTATTTCTGAAATCATCCTTTACTATTCCAGGAAATCTCAGTTTAATATACAGTAATTAAAATTGAAAACATTTTGCATACAGTTAAATCATGTTGCATGAATTTTCATGACAAATAGTTTGACTTATTAAAATGTAGTACAGCTACAAAGAACTATAGTTAATCAGTTTTATATTAATTTTTATTTCAAGTAATAAATGAGATAATACATAAAACTTACCTCAAAGTCAAGGTCTGAATAGCGTGACTTTCTTCTCTGTTAGATGTTTTTTAGAGAGAAAGAAGAAAAATTAATAAAGTTATTTTAGTCATTGAAATACTTTGAATAAATATAATGATGCTTCTTTGAAGATATTCATCATATTTCCATTATATAGAAGAACATGAATGTTTTCTTGATTTCAAAATACTCTAGTCACATTATTTAAATTTCCCTTTGGATTTCCTTTAAAAAATTTTTTTTTCCTTTAAAAAATTTAAAACACATAAAAAGAAATACATTTCTCACCTTGATATCTTAACACTAAATTTCAAGAAGATAATTTTTTTCCATAAAATTTCAATCTTGAATGAGTTATTAGGTTTACTAATTCAAGACTATAGAAACGAGATTAACATTAACACTGGCATCCACTTCCTAAACAGCATGCCTCCAGAAACTCTGTGAACTTTGATAAATGTCATTAATTGTACAAGAGCTTCAGGCCTTTTGTTCATAATGTCACTATGAGTCATGCTGGACTTGAAGGCTGTCAACAACAACACAAGACTATAGAAATAAGATAAAAAGTGTAGGGAAAATGTTGTAGATACCTCAGTATTGCCTACCAACCAATCTTTTATGATTTTTTTTTACTCTTTCTAAAAGTCTTGATGCTTCTCATTTGTAATTTCCTGGTATTTTATTGCTTTCCATGATATTAAAGTGTTTCTAGTTTTTAGTTATTGCTGCATAAAGTATTTATTTTAATTTGTTGTTTTTGTTGTGTACCGTAGAGTCGGAAATGACCCACAGTTGACCCTCCAGTGGGTTTTCAAAGGCATTTAATCACACTGGAGCAGATTGTCCGTCTTTTTCCCACGAAGCAGCTGGTGGCCTCAAACTATGTGCCTTTGATTACAGTGTAGCTTCTTGTCACCAAATGAATATTCCACATTCCAGCAAAATATAGACACAATTGTGACTATCTTGCAATGCTTTGTTATGGTTTCAACTCTTATCAAGCAATTCCAAAAAACCAGTTATGGGGGGGGCAAGTATGAATAAAATTAAGTAATTAAGGACCAGGCCTAAGAAAATCAGAAGATGGGATTAACGCAATCTCATGTGATGATACGATTTTCCTGTTATTAGCCTAGGGTAGGAAAGTTGTTTGTTGCTTTTTGTTTCACAATGGTTCTTATATTTTTGGAACATGTGGGAGGAGAGAGGGAGATACATTTGATAAATGTGCAAAGAGATCTCCACATTTTTAGAGAACAAAATAAATTTCCAACATAGATTTTGTTGTGGTGTTTTTTTTTATTGTTGTTGTTCTGTTTGTTTGCTTGTAGGTTTTCATTTGTTGGGATTTTTTTTTTCCTGGCGAGAGAGTCAGAATGAAGTACAGAGAGATTCATGAAATTCTAAAGACAAGTAATAATAAGATAGTTGGGAAAACATGGAAACTTTTGGACAGACTCCTGGGTTGTTTTGGGTGTTGTTTCCTCCCCTCCTTTTCCATTTTCAAATCTACAATACCCAAGATTGACGGAGTACTCTAATGTAATTGTTGAGTATGTAGAGACAGAGAGAACTATAGGTATAGGAAAGTGTGGGTAATTATCAGTAGCCAAAATGAAAATCATCCCAATAACAGAATGCTTTTATAATTAAACCAACTCTTCATATTGCAACTGACAGACAAGCAAGACTTCGAACTCGTTTCATTCAGTTCTACATTCTGCTGATCATTTGTATTTCCACAACAAATATGCTAAATAAGACCCTCCATTTTAACAAGTTCCCCAGAAATACCTTACACGTAAGAATTCTTACACATAACCAAATTCAGTATACCTAACATGAAAAAATGCAAATTCTCAGTAGGATGTTGAAATAAACCAGTCTGGATTCCTGAAAGTGACAGAGCAAAAGAAATGTTTTGTTTTTCTGAAGAGTGAGACATAACTTCATTTTGATAGAATTTTTTTAAAGAAATCACCTCTTAAATATAATCAGGGAGAGAACAGGAAAGGAGATTGCTTTATTAAATAGAAACCCAGTATATTAATCTCGCCTTGCTGCTTATTTTCAATCTTGCCCTAGTGTAGCCCAGGAGACATCCCAGATGAAAACATGTACGGGATGGCATTATACTGAGCCTTCCCTCCCATATTCCTGCCATTATTGCTATTTAGCTGTTGTTGCTATGTGCGGTCACATCACTTGTGACTCATAGTGACCGTATGTACGATAGGCCTAAACCCTAACTGTACTGTATGTAAACTGCCCTCGGAAGTCTGCAGCATGCTTTGCTGCAATATGCTAGAATAAACGTCAGTGTTTCTGCTCTTGGATGCTTGGCCTTCTTGGCACTGTGATTCACCAGGACATTCTGTAAGTATAAATTAAGCCAAATGCTTTTTAATACCACAAAATGCAAGCAAGGAGGCATTATAGCATATTAATCATGAGCCAGAGCTCAGAGTCGTATTTAAAAAGTAAAATATTCAGGAAAAGGTTCAGCTAGCTAGAAGAGCAAGAAGCCTCCTGCTACTGTGCTAAAGGTTTGATTCTCTGTTGCTGAAGGTCACGGCAGCCTTATGTTGTTCTGCTCATTTTCTAATGCAGTGTTATGTTCCTTGAAAACTGGAAATACTGACAAATTATGTGTCACTAAAAAGTGGCATATTTTTTAGAGTACGAACAAAAGATAGGACACAAGAAGAATGCCAGCAGTAGACTCTTCTTCTGGGAGCAGATGCCACCTGTGAGTGGACGTGAAACATGGAAAAGAAAACAGATTCACTCCTGCTAGCAGATCACTTTATCCTTAAGTAAAATACACTCTGGTGGCCTAGTAGCAAAAAACTGCACTGCAATCCTGAAAGCACCTGGTTCAAGGCCACCAAATGCTCCCCAGGAGAATGGCAGTCTGCTGGGCAACCTGCTTCTGTGCAATTACTGTCTCTGAAAACCTGCTGGGCGGAGGGTTAGCTATGGGTAAGTTCCAATTCTATGGTACACAACAACAGTGTGGGAGTGGAACAGAAATTCTGGCCTAAGAGTGAACAAATGAGACAAGGAGGTTTTAATCAAAAGAGCACCAAAATAGGGAACTGGGGGAGGAGGGAAACAAACAGGAAAAACACAGAATTGGAGAGTGAAGGAAAATGTGGCAAGTTATCACAACCCTAAAAGGGAACTCTGCTGGCACAGTCCATAGGGAATTATACACCTAAGCCAGAGGTAGGGCCTCTGTCACAGTTCAAATCCACAGCAATTCCTTGAGGGAAGATGAGCAATCTACTTCCAGACAATATCTGTTGTTATTGTTATGTGCCGTCGAGTCCCTTGTGACTCCTAGCGACCCTATGTACAACAGCTCTAAGCTCTTCTCTGTCCTGTGCCAATCTCATTGCCTCCGACACACTCATCCCAATTGTCACCTAATAAATCCATCTCCCAGTGGGCCTTCCCCTCCTGCGCCTGCCCTCCATCCTCCCAAGCATGATGTCCCTCTCCAAGGACCGGTCTCTCCTTACAACATGATTAAAGTATGTCAGATGAAGCCTCAGAATCCTTGCCTCCAAGGAGCAGCCCGGTTTAACCCTCTCTAGGATGAATCTGTTCGCTTAGCAGTCCATGGCACCTTCAGCACCCTTCTCCAACACCAAAGCTCAAAAGCATCAATTCTCCTTCTATCCACCTTGGTCAAAATTTGCTGGAGGGTCAGCTATGAGTCAGTTCTGACTCAACGCCAATGAGTAAGATTTTAAAAATTTTTTTAAAAGACTTACTTCTACCTAGTCAATTTAGGCTTATAGTACCCTCAACTGGATGTGTCAAATGCGTTAATGTTTGGCTACCCAATGTGGACTGAGAGTGGGGTGGAGCTCCCCGATTAAACAAGCGTGGAAGGAGGAGTGGCATCCACTTCCATAACAGCTTGCCTCCGGAAACCCTATGAACTTGGAGAGAGGATGAAAGGCACCCAAGTGTCAAGGACTCTCCTTCATAGGGTCGCTATGAGTCGCCTGCGACTCGACGGCACTTAACAACAACAACAACAACAACAACAATACCCTCAACAGAATAGAACTACCCAAGGGGTTTCTAAGGCTTTATATTTCTACAGAAGTCAACTGCTGCATTTTTTTTTTAATTTGTCACTGCAGAGCTGGGAGGTTTGTGCCACTGAGCATTTGAATAGCAGCTAAATGCAATGGCCATTATGTCACCAGGACTCTTTTTTCAGAGCCCAAGGAAAGTAAGAATTTATGTAATAATATTTAAATGCCTACATCAGTTGGAAACGACTCGACCGACGGCACATAACAACAACAACAACATCAATCAAGTGTGCAAACTTTTTTCTAGTTTTTAAGGTATGTTCACATGTGAACATGCTTATCACCATATAAGGAGTCCTAGTAGTGTAGTGGAGCTCTGATGGCTGATTGGCAAGAAGTTGTGCTGCAATTCCAAAGGCATGCAGTTTAAGGCCACCAGCCGCTCCACAGGATAAGGAAGGGCAAGCTCCTCCAACGCCCAAATAAAACAACAACAACAACAACAACAAAACAATGTCTTTGAATCGTGTTGTCAAGAGAAGAGTATTGCATATTGTATATCTCTATCATCTCTGATTGTTCACAGCTTCAGTTTGCTCGGCTCCACAGTCAACACTCTTGGCATCAGCAGTCAGGAAATCAAAATGCGTATCGCGATGGGAAAGTCTGCTGTTAGGGACCTCTCTAAAGTACTCAGGAGCAACAGTGTCTCTCTGGAGACTAAGGTATGCCTGATTCAGGCCATGGTCTTTCCAATCGCTTGTTATGCATCAGAGAGTTGGGCAATGTCTAGGGAGGGCAGAAGGAGAGTTGATGCCTTTGAGCTGTGGTGCTGGAGAAGAGTACTGAATGTACCATGGACTGCCAGGAAAACAAACAGATTCATCTTGGAGAGGATTAAACCAAGCTACTCCTTGGAGGCAAGGATTCTGGGGCTTCGTCTGACATACTTTGGAAATGTTGCCAGGAGGGATGGGTCCT